TAAGTATGAGGACTCAAAGCCCCTTGTGGTATCCACGAAACACCTAAGGTATGACCACACTTCGATGGCTGCTATACATATATGCTCTGGGAGTCTACTACATTAGAAGTTTCACTCTAATTGGCAAACAGCAGGCTGTGTTATGGCTTTAAATTGGAGGAATATCATGGACCAAAATTCCTAAGCCAGGGACTAGTGTACTATTCAGTCCTTCAGTGACATGGCTTACCATACCAAAGCCACCCCCTCTGACAGCCACCTCTAAAAATGGAGGTGCGAGGGGCACCTTGGTGGCTCAGTGAGTTAAGCCTCTGCCTTCAGCTCAGGTTGTGATCTCAGGGTCCTGGAATTGAGCCCCACATTGGGCTCTCTGCTCGGCGGGGAGCCTGCTTCCCCCTCTCTCTCTGCCTGCCTCTCTGCCTATTTGTGATCTCTGTCAAGTAAATAAATAAAATCTTTTTTAAAAAAATAAAAAAAATTAAAATAAAAATGGAGGTGCGGGCACTGGGTGGCTCATTTGTTTAAGCGTCCAAGTCTTGATTTAGGCTCTGGTCATGATCTCAGGGTTTTAAGATCCCGGCCCCGCGTCAGGCTCCATGCCTAAGTTCCCTCTCTCCCTCTCCCTTTGCTCTCCCCCACTCTGGTCTCACTCTCAAATAAATACATAAATAAATAAATAAATAAATAAATAAAAAGAAAATGGAGGCACTTCCTTAATTTTCTATGTGGACTGTGCCTCTCTGTTTCACCAAGATCTGGTTCTCTGTTTTCTGTCTTCTAGCAATGCTTCACAGCAACCAGTGTAGTTATGAATTTATTTTTCTTACTGAAACTGTTTATCATTGTATAGTTTCTGTAACTTTAATAGAACTTCATAAGATGTCTTTAATACAGTATGTCATCTTTGATCTCGACCTCTCCCCAGATTCATAATGTCTATTCATCTAATAACTAAGCTGCTTATAGTTGTTCCCTCTACATTCTCGGTCTCTAAGAAGGCCATGTCTTATAACCCCTACCTCAAACATAGTCTTTAAAAAATTTTTTAAACACAAACTAGGAAATCAGGAGAAGGGGAAGGGAAATGCAGGAAGAAACTAGCATAACTGCTTCCAAGGAGTCCAAATTGGTGGCAGCAGGGACTGAATTCACCACATCCAAGGGTCTACCCCTAAGCTTGCAGGCTCCCTGATTTTGTCTGCATTAACAGAGAACCAGCCAGCTCCGTAGGAAATATCAAATAAAGTCACACTGCTAATTTAAAATTCGTACTGTAACTGTCACATAGACTAAAACACTTCTGCCTGCATGACTACTCCATTTTCTGTCCATCAGCAGAACACCATGGATTCCAAATTGTAATCAAAAGTTTGTCATCAATGCTTCTGAAATGTATGCTCAAAATGGTAAAAGTGGTAAATTTTATGCTATGTGTATTTTACATATACATAAAGTTTGTATTCACAGCAAGGACAACTTGGTAGGCAAAGCAAATGTCAAATAATGTAAGTCTGATAATAAGATAATCTGATACCAACTACTTCTAAGTAAGAACAATCTTGCCAATAAAAGAATTCTCAAACACATTTTAGCATGCATTACCAACATTTGCTCTTATAGTTCTTTCTTTCTACATGTCCATGACTTTTGGTAGACAAACTGCTGCAAATATTGTTATTTTCACCTCATTCTTAGAAAGGATTAATGGTTTTTTAGATGTTACATAATACCATACCATTATAAAATATTATAAAATATATTTTAGTATATTTAGTATAGTAATTTGGTATATTTAGTATAGTAATATAAAATATAATATCTAGATTTTGTAATATTGATTATAGTTAAATCTTGGCAACTCTAGGAACCATTCTGCCTCCTGAAGCATGTCACTTATTCAAATGTTTACAGGTACAGGCAGTTAATATAAATTGTTAAAGACTGAGATACAAAGCTGGAGAAGCAGGCAAGGAAGAGAACATACAGAACCACAGAGGCCGTATCACAAGAATCTGAATGTTTCACTAACATGTATAAAAAGCCAGTAAAGGATTTAAAGTAGGGGAATAATATGAGAGCTTGTTTTATGGGAAAACGGTCAGATCTATTATTAGAACTTCAACTTGTTAAGAATTACATAACCTAATGGGAGAAAAAGAACAAAAACAAGAACAAGGTCCAGTTTTCTGACTCCCAGAAATTTGTAACAAGTCATTCCGATGCTTTGGTAAAACATTATGAAAATTCCCCAAACCTGTGCCTGTTAACTGAAGAGCAGTAGCTCCTGCTTTGATACAGGACTTGCAGGCACTAGAAATCTGAGGCTGCTATAAGTGTTCTTGAAATGCAGTCACTGACCATTACCATCAGAATCACTTGGGTATCTATTAAAATACATCATTTCCAAAGAATATGGTCTAGTAAATCTGGGGTACGGGTACCCCAAATCCTTACTTTTACAAAATTTTAAGAACTACTGCCCTCATGTTTCCTTAGAAAAGCCTCGTCTTAACATTTAAGGTGACCTAAAGAAGAAAGACTCCAAAAAAGCTGAGAGGAATAGATTACAGAAAGTACAAAGGTCTGGATATAGGGAAGAGCTTCATTTAAAAACTAACAGAAGGCCACCATAGCCGGTGAGAACAGCAGGATATAAAGCAGGAATGCTAGGCCAGGCCTGATTACCTTGAGTAAGTGTACAGACACAAAAAGAAGCAGGTAACTAGTATTATCTTAATTATATTTTTAGAAGATTATACTTTTGTGTGGAAAACTGAATCTAGCAGGGCAAAACTAGAAACAAGATTAGTCAATAAACTACTTTAATAGTCCAGGAAAGAGCTGATGGGGACATGAACTGGAACTGGTAGCAACAGATGTGGAAGAGGGGACAGATAAATTTTGGAAGTAGAAAACACAGACTTGGGCGCCTGTGTGGCTCAGTGGGTTAAAGCCTCTGCCTTCAGCACAGGTCATGATCCCAGAGTCCTGGGATCCAGCCCCGAGTTGGGCTCTCTGCTTAGCAGGGAGCCTGCTTCCTCCTCTCTCTCTCTCTCTGCCTGCCTCTCTGCCTACTTGTGATCTCTGTCAAATAAATAAATAAATAAAATCTTTAAAAAAAAAAGAAAACACAGACTTTCTGAAAGACTGGAGGTGGGAGGTGATAAAAAGGGAAGAATATAGGATGGTCCCTAGGCCATCAGCCTTAAATAACTATACTAGTTGTAAATAAATTTCTTCGGTTATTATAACTACACATTTAGATTTTTTTTAAGGTTTTATTTACTTATTTATTTATTTATTTATCTGGGGGGCGGGTACAGAGAGCTAGCGAGCACGCTCACAAGCAGGCAGAGTGGCAGGCAGAGGCTGAGAGAGAAGCAGGCTCCTTGCAAAGCAAGGAGCCTGATGTGGAACTCGATCCCAGGACCCTGGGATCATGACCTGAGCCAAAGGCTCAACCAACTGAGCCACCTGGCATCCCCACATTTAGATTTTTAATAAACAATATTTGGATACCAGAAGTTGAAAGGTTACTAAAGATATCATATAAATTCTTATCATGAAAGTACTTTAAATATAAACTCTAAGGACCACAAAAATTAATCTGCCTGCAAATTAAACTATCTATAAATTACCTAATAGGATAATATAAATTTGAATTTCTAAAGTATAATAACAAAATATACTTTATTAATAATACCTTGCAAATGAGCTAATCTGAATAAAGGTTTTTACATGTTTCCCACAAAAATTACTACTTAGATGTTCTTTATCTCTTATTCTAAAACATTTATGGGGCACATTGCTGGCTTACTCAGTGAAGCGTGAGACTCTTGATCTGGCAATTTTGAGTTCGAGCCCCATGCTAGGTATAGAGATTACTTAAAATCTTTCTAAAAATTAAATAAATAAAGTGTTTACTTAGAAATTTTGTTATACAGATTTTTGTTACAGGATTCATTCCAAAAGTTTCAAATTTCAAATTACTAAGGATATTTTTTTTTAAAAAACACCCTACTTAGTACCAAAAGAACCCACTAATTATAATCCAAAGGGTTCTGTTCTCCTTTTACCTTACACTTACACAACTATTTTTAAATAAAGGAGAAACTAAATAAATAAGAAACAAGACCATCGATCAAGTCCTATTATCCTTAAAATTTTAACTCCTGAGCACAAAGGCTTTCTAAATCCTATTTAAGTAAATACAGACTCCTAGCTAGGATCCAAATTTCTCCAGTCTTCAACTAAGTTTCTCTTATTTGGCTCTAAATTCCTATAAGTGGATACAATGGATTTAAAGCTTAAAGATAAGTAAATCTAGCCCACAACATGAGCCCATATTGGCCCCCCAAAATGTATTTTTTTAACTTTTTTTTTAAGATTTTATTTATTCATTTGACAGACAGAGATCACAAGTAGGCAGTGAGGCAGACAGAGAGAGAGGAGGAAGCAGGCTCCCTGCTGAGCAGAGAGCCCAATAAGGGGCTTGATCCCAGGACACTGAGATAATGACCAGAGCCGAAGGCAGAGGCTTTAACCCACTGAGCCACCCAGGCGCCCCCCAAAATGTATTTTTTAAAAGCTTTGTTGTATGCAAAAAGAGAAATTACCTGTGAAATTCTACAAATGCCTATACATTCATGAACTTAATGCTTTAGAATTACTTAATATTTCCATATACTCATCCATTCAATGCTTCAAAATTTGGAGGAACTAATTTATTTCACTGAGAGTCCCCCTCTCAAAAGAGGCCAAAGTGAAGAGTCAAAGAAATAAGAGCATTACTTTTCAGTGACATAGATGGTCATGGTTCATTGAAAATAGACTGTCAATCTCATCTTCTCTTTTTCAGTATGTAAGCCTACAAATTACAAAAAGTTAAAAAAAAACATTCAAGAGAGAAATACTTCTTTTTTAGAAAAGTGATATAGTTTGCTTCTTGGTTCTTCAGCTAAAAACAGACATGACAAAAGAACTAACACAACTATAAAAAATTATTTGTATCCAAAATGTATTTTCAAGATTTCAAGATCTGACATAGGCACAAAGAAAAGGAAGGAATTGAGAAAAGTATAAACAAGTCAGTTATAGACTGACCTCAACTTGAAATAGGTTAAAAAATATTTTAGTAGTACTTTTAAAAAATGCTTGAAGTAAATATTTAATTCAACTCTTCTCAGTCATCTTGATGTATCTATGAGCTAAATGCCTACATTAAGGCAAAAACCTCATTTTAAATACTCATTTAATTGATGAATTCTTTCGTTTAAAATTGCTAATCCAGGGAAAGTGTTTTTGTAAAAATCGTTTTATTGCTACAAAGGGAAACATGGTCACAAAAAGCCTTTAAGCGTATATTAACGCAAATTACTATTCAATGTCCAATGCCGTAAAAAAATACACACTCAGAGCACAAAATACTTGCCCAATTTATCTCTTCTAGGGTAAGTATTCAAAACATTAATGCACACTTGAATATATACTCCCAACAGCAGCATTTAAGTTCAAATGATTAGAGTAGATATACTAACAATACACATCTGTTATCCTTAACACCAATAAAGTAATAAAAATTAAGCTTAAAAATTATACAAACAATTTATCTAATCTAAGTTTGATAGCTATAAAAACTAAACTAAAATAGTCTTACCTTCATCTTATTAAACAAATGCCAAACATTTAGAAATTATATAAAACAAATCTGAATGTGTGGAATGCATGCAACATGGGTGTTAATTCTCATATTTTAAACTATTAAAATTCTTACCCTTTTCCATATTAGGAGAGAAATTTAAAGCTTCTTTTAGATTTGACTAATACCTTATATTTAATTTTCTTCAGGTTGGTCAACAGGGAAGTCAACAGGCTCTTCCTTTGTTTCTTCCCCCACTGCCTCTCCTTCCCCCACTGCCTCTCTCTCCCCCACTGCCTCTCTCTCCCCCACTGCCTCTCCCTCCCCCACACCCTCTATTTCTCCTGCCTCCTCTGTGTCTCCCACTCCCTCTACTCCTCCTCCTTCTCCCACTTCCTCTGCTTCCTCCACTTCTTCTACTTCCTCTACTTCCCCCACTTCCTCCTCTTCTTCCTCCTCTTCCTCCTCTTCTTCAATAGGTTCATCAATCTTTTCTTCCTCTTCCTCATCTCCTTCTATTTGTTGATCTTGAGAATGATCTTGAATTTCAAAAGGATTCTCACCCTAAAAAGCATGAGGAAAATAGCTTTTAAAATCAGTATATTCATTTTTGTTACCAGCGAAATTTTTCTTTGCTGTAACATTAAAAATAAATATAATTTGAAGCTTTTTATTTTAACTCATGACAAATCCACTAGATATTTTGTTCAGTACCTATTTCATACCAATGTGGGTATATAAATTACTAAAGTCACTACTTTACATTCCATAAACTGGAATGCTTAAAGGCCACATTTTCCTAACTGAATTTCTAAAATCATATATCTATATATGATTACATATATGTAAAACCATATATATACAATCTAAATCTAAATATACATATTATATATATATAAAATCTAAGATCATATATATATGATTTTAGAACTTCAGTTAGGAATACACACACACACACACACACACATACATATGGCAAAAGCAAATACGTGGGTTTTGGTAGAAATAAAGTATATAAAGCAAAGATATGTTCTACTAAATTACAACAGGATTCAATGTACTATGGTGGTAGGATCTCTTCAAAACACTCAAATGAAAATCAAGTCTTTTTAAAAATTCAAATGAATGAAAACCAGGTACCTATTAGATATACCTTACTTTTACATTAAAAAAGTAGATAAATCTAATTTACTATGGGCACCTGGGTGGCTCAGTCAGTTAAGTGTTTGCCTTCGGCTCAGGTCATGATCTCCGCATCGTGGGATCGAGCCCCACAATGGGCACCCTGCTCAGTGGAGAGTCTGCTTCTCCCACTCCCTCTGCTTGTGCCCTCTCTTAAATAAATAAATAAAATCTTTTTAAAAATCTGTAATTCACTAACACAGATACAACTTTATTATTTTAATTTATATAAATACTTGAATTATGTGTCTGGATTAAGTCTCATAAACTAGACCGTATCAGAAGGCTATATTAATATAGTAAGAAATAAATTGTAATGGTTATTAAATAACAAAGTATAAGCCTGGTGCTATACTTCAAGACCCATCAGGTGGGAAGGCACAGAATGAACTGAAATCGTAGGAGAAGAAATACTAATGAGCGGGTTACTCTACTAATCCAGGAGAGGAAGTATAAAAGATGTAGCAGCACCATTAAAAGAATATGTAAATTAGGATGGGGAAAGTGGAAGAAGCAGATGTATGCTATATATAATTAGAATTTAAGATGTCTAAATGTCTAAGAGGCAGCTTTAAATTCACAACTCGAAAGAGAAGAGAGCTCGAAGTAAGACTTGTGAATTGTTTGCCAAGTGAATAGGGAGGTCAGGGAAATAAGTAGAATAAAAGGGTTAATGATAAAAACCCACTGAAAACATCTATACGTAGGGACAGAAGTTATGAAAAAAAAAAAAACAAACTCAGTGCAGGAGGAAACTCAGGATAGTAAAATATTATCCGGCAAAACAAAGTTTCAAGAATAAGTGACAGATTAACAGTATCAAATGATGCAAACAGGTAATATTAGAAAAGAATTGAAAAAGGTCACTAGAGTTGAAAATTATTAAAGTTGAATGAGGGATTTATTACACTATCTCCTTAACTTCCACATGTTTAAAATAGTAAATAAAAAATGTTAAAAAATTTATTTGAAAATTAAGTCACCAGTTATCTTGGAGCAGTTCCAAAAGTATTATGTAAGTGGAAGCTGTACAGCAATGACTGCCCAAGAATGAATCAGAATTTCTTCTAAGCTTACAAAATCCACAGACCCGAGTTCCACACACTGAGACTTTAACGTAGTCAAGTACTAGACCTCTTGCTAAAAACAGAAGTTCCCAAATCAATTTCAGACCTCTTGAATGAAAATTTTCCAGGGGTGAGATCTGGTAACCTGCATACTTAAGAAGCATTTCACGAGGTATTAATCAGAGAAGGTTGGGAAACTCTAATTCAGAAGGTTTTAAAGAAGGCCAAGGCAGCTTTTTGTTTGATTTCAGCCTCGCAAGGAATTCTAATTACATATCTCCAATTGAGAACCACCAGTTTAAAGAGTAGAAGCAAAGAGTACAACGCAAGGCACAACTTAGTGCCCTTCTAAGTATGGTGATAAGAGAAAAGATAAGATGGGAAGGGGGAAGAGTAGGAAAAGTCAAGTCATTTTTAGTTTAGGGAACTTGTAAGCATATCTGTTTGTAGAAGAATAAAATAATAAACAGGGCACAAGTAAGATACAAGTAAAGAGTGAGAAAACTGATGAAACAATAATACAGGTGAAGGGCGAAAAGTGGGTATCTTTCTTCACATATAACAATAAAAGTGAGAGTAAGTTACATAAATCTAACGCAGGAAGGAGAAAACTTACAGTTCACATCTAGTGGTCTCAATCTCCCTAAAGCAAGAGAAGTGATAAGAACATAGGAAGTAAAGGGCGTAAGAATGAAATCTAGATATGCTAAGAGTGGAAAAGCTTTGAAATAGCCACTGTAGAAAGTACATTACATTGATTGGTAATAGGCAAAATTACCATGAACTGCAGTGAAAATCTAGCAAATACAGTACCGGTACAATTTGTACTGGTACAATGGTACCGGTACCATTACATTTGTAGCAAGACAGTTAATAAAGCTAACCATAAAGGTGCCTGGGTGGCTCAGTCGGTTTAAGTGTCTGCCTTGGGATCAGGTTACGATCTCCAGATCCTGAACTGAGCCCCTGCATCAGGCTCCCTGCTCAGTGGGGAGTCTACTTCTCCTTGTGCTCTCTAAGTAAATAAAATCTTTTAAAAAAAAATTAAAAAGCTAACCCTAGATGGCATAGTGCTGGGAACTGTTAAGTGGTAGAACAAGTGAGGAATTTTAGAATGGCAGTACTGCACTGTTATAAGGACTGACCATGAGTATCAAGGCCAGGGTGTGAAGGTAAAACAAGGTGATACAGTTGGAGAAATAGAGAAAATTGATGAACTGATTATTTTCATGGGGCAAAGATTAAAAAAGATAATTTTGTCAGACTGAGCACTTAAAGGTGAAAGAATTTTAAGTGATGACCAGAGCTGACCATGGGCAGAGGATGTTCTGGGGAGTAATAGCAGGGAACAGAGGAGATTAGGAAAGCTGAACAAAAGGCTATCACTGAGTAATGTGACACCAGTGCTTCTTGAATTTTAACATGTCTATAAATCAAATGGGATCTTGTCAAATGAAACTGCATTTCTTTTTTTTTTTTTTAAAGATTTTATTTATTTATTTGTTAGAGAAAGAGAGAGAGAGCATGAGCACAGGCAGACAGAGTGGTAGGCAGAGGCAGAGGGAGAAGCAGGCTCCCCGCTGAGCAAGGAGCCCGATGTGGGACTCGATCCCAGGACGCTGGGATCATGACCTGAGCCGAAGGCAGCCGCTTAACCAACTGAGCCACCCAGGCGTCCCGAAACTGCATTTCTAATGAACTCCCAGGAGATGCCAATATTGCTGGTCCATGGATCCCATTTATAGTAAAAAAATTCTAGAAGAGCTCTCCTCAGTTCAGGTATTTTCTCCACAATATGCACATCAGCAAGACACTCCCCACCAGTGATGTCTCTCATTCAATGAAGTAACTCTCAAGTGTAGCTTGAGAAGTCTACATAGCAACTCACATTTCTATTCTTCTTTCATTAAATATTACTTTCATACATTAATAGAAACCATTATTAACTTCTCAAAAGTTTGTGATATAGCAAGGATAAAAATTTTTCCTCATTTAGCAATGATGCTCTTACCTTTTTGATGCCATATCTCCCAAAAAACTGAATTTCAATTAGGCCTGCAGTCACTATTTTTTTGTTGTTGCTGTTGGACTGCATTACTCTGTTACAATTTCTGCATTCACCTTTTAAAAATGGTGCCAAGAATGTAGTAAAAGTGACAAATACGACAAATCAGAAAATGGGACCCTCGGGAACAAGCTGAAAAAACTGAGATTTATCCAGCTTGTAAATCACTTGGTTGAGGTGTAAGTTAATGGTCATTGAAAAAAAAATAGAGATATAGACAGATAGATAGATAGATAGATCAGGCTTCTTCACAGAGTACCTGTTAATCACTACAATAGCCAAAATAAATAATACTTCTCTAATCCATAAAATCAAGATTTAGTTACAAATGTAAATAACAGACTTACAAATTTTCAACATAATAGCTTTCTTCAGTGTAGGATGATTTTAAATGAGGCATTATTTTACAAAGACTCAAAAGCTAACCTCTAAAATATATTTCTGTTAATTTCTTGAATAACAGTAAATTCTTATTTGCACAGTTAAGTATATATAATACGTAAAGAATTTTATGTAAAGACTACCACAATAACATAAGGCTAGCAGTGTGCCAGGTGTACCTAATTGTTCACATCTGCATTTACTAACATTCAGGGCAAAGCTCTTCTCCTGGCCTCCTGATTCCACGAGAGGGCTTTTTCTGAAGCAGCATATCTGACCTCCCACTTTCCCATCCAAGCAAGAACAACTACTTATCCAATTAGTATGCTTGGAAGAAGAAACTGGGCATGCACAAATTAGTCCTTTCTGGGTCCCCTCTTTTGGGTCCTCCCAGCAACAGAAAAGGTACATTCTAGTCTATTGTAGGCCATGTGGTAAACTAGGGTAAGCTTATTGCTGTCTAGCTGAACCAGTAACAGAGGTCAAGGAGAGGTAAGTTTATCTAACTTAGAAGTGAAATACAACTATGGTGAGTGCTGTGAACTGTGTAAGAATGATGAATCACAAATCTGTATCCCTGAAGCAAACAGTGCATTATATGTTAATAAATAAATTTTTTTTAAAATTATAATTAAAATTTTAAAAAAAGAAAGAAAGAGACTTTTAACTACAGAGAACAAACTGATGGTTACCGGAGGGGTGGTAGGCAGGGGCGATGGGGGAAATAGGTGATGGGGATGAAGGAGGCCACTTGTTGTGATGAGCACTGGGTATTGTACAGAAGTGCTGAATCACTGTATTGTGCACTTGAAACTAATATAACACTGTATGTAAACTAACTGGGATTAACGCAAAACTTTAAAAAAAAAAAAAAGTGAAATACAAAGGTCCACAGTAACTATACACTTGTCATATCCCCCAAGTCATCCTTTCTTTAAAAATCAAGAATAGGGGCAACTGGGTGGCTCAGTCAGTTAAGCATCTTCATTCTGCTCAGGTCATGAACCTGAGGTCCTGAGACTGAGGCCCTTGTCAGGCTCCCTGCTCAGTGAGGAGTCTGCTTCTCCCTCTCCATCTGCCCCCCACGGGTGATCTCTCTCTCTTGCTCTCTACCTCAAAAAAAAAAAATTTTTTTTAATAAAATAAAATAATAAATAAATAAAAATCAAGAATATAGAGGACATTCTGATCTTCAATCAGACTCCTGCGTTTCTCTCAAATGATCCAGAGTGAGAAAAGGATAAGAGAGGAATGGCTTATTGTTCCCTCACCCAACAAATCCCAACAATTAGGAAAAAAGATGTCTTACTTATAAGCAACATACTAAGTAAAATTCTTCCTAATGTTGCACTATATATAGAAATCATAGTTAGTATGTCACTATTTAATAATAAAGATACTATGATATAACCTAAAAAGGTTTTGCCCTAAAATCTTACCTTAACAAAACGTTCATATCGCGCCTTCACTATTGGATTATTTAAAATGCTTGTAGCAGTCAAGACACTTTCTCTTTTTATTTGCTCCTTATAAGCCTGTGAGAAACAGAACACACTGAGGTACTTGAAAACCATACCATAAAAATATTTCTATAATTAAAACAACATTGTATGCTCAAATTCTTAGATTTAAATGATTTACTTCCTGGCAAATTAAGCTATAAAGCAACAGCAGCTACTGGGATACAATCTAAATCATCCATGGATTAAAACAATGAAGATTCAATAAGCCAATGAGACTCATTAAAAAACACCCAGTCACCAAATATGATACATCCAAATCTACTAAATAGCTGCTTTCTCTCCTTCCTACTCCACATGCACATCCCCCCGCCCCAATTCTGCCAACTACTAATTTTCATGCCATTAAAAAAGAATAATTTTTCATACTGCTAGAGTAATTAGTCTTCCTCTGGACTGTAGTTAGCATAAGACTATATTATATAAAGGAGGAAAGGTAATAATATGGATTGTCTAGTTGCCAAAAAGGTGTCAAGGGAATATCAAAAGAGAAGAGAAAAGTACAAAGATTTTTAAAAGATTTTATGTGCTCAAAGTGGCTGATGAAGTCTGAGTTAAATGAGGATCACATCAATACAAAATATGCATTTAAGACTCAGGTACGTTCTACTTAAAACTTAAGTCTTTAGGGGCGCCTGGATGGCTCAGTTTAGTGGCCAACTCCTGATTTTGGCTGAGGTCATGATCTCAGAGTCCTGGGATTGAGCCCGGGGTTGGGCTCCACACTCAGCAGCGTGTCTGCTTCAGGACTCTCTTTCCCTGCTCCTCCCCACTGCTTGCTTGTACGTGGGCACGCACAGGCGCACACTCGCTCTTTCTCTAAAATAAATAAATCTTAAAAAATAAATAAAACTTAAGTCTTTAATATTTGAATTTTTAAATTTGGTTCTCAAACGAGCTAGTTTCACATACTGTAAACACTATTTGAAATAAACTGGACTAAATCAACCAATATAAAAGCAGAAACATGCCAATCAAAAAGAAAACAGTACATTTTTCCTAGAATTTGAGTAAATTTACTCAGAAATGTAACAACAGATAACAACTGATACTAGTTTATTTTTCCCAGCAATCAGAAAAACGTATGTTATAATCAAATCTTTCCTTTCTTTTTTGATCTAAAACACACACACACACACGCTCTCTCCCTCTCTCTTGTCCTCATAAAACTGTTTTGTACCAACTTTAAAAAAAGTGTTCATGAAAAGAACAATTCAACAGCTATGATTTCCTAAAGGTTTACACTATGTAAGCTTATACTACGTAATGCTGATATCAGCCAGGCACCATTTTAAGTGTTTTTTATACTTTAACCAACTTAATCTTTAAACAGTTATGTAAGAGTAGAATGATGATCCATCCCCATTTTACAGATAAAGCAGCTTAGGCAAAGAAAAGTTAATTTACTTGCTTACCACATATTATATACTGAACCAGAATTCAAACCCAGGAATTCTTGCTCCAGAGCTCAACCTTAACCACCACCAGCCTTAACTACTATGCTACACAGACCCTCTAGGTTATCTTCATAGTTTTTTTTACACAGGAGAATAACAGGGCTGTATGCAAGCAGGTAGGTGTGAAACAATGGCCTTTAAAGGATAATAAAGGATTAACAAATAATTCAATGACTTCATTAAGATAGATACCTGCTTCCCTTTGATATGATCAGGAGATTTTAAGTGCTGCTGCACTGAGCTGTGTAAAGCAGGGATATACACACTACATGCACTGCAGTGAACAGTTTCTACTTTCATCATGTGATCATCTGCAGTAACACCTACAAAAGAAAGCCAGTTATAAATAAGAAAAGTAATGATTTACATATTCTTACTTCCAACAAAACAAGTTTTTATTGTTTCCACAGTTATTTATAACCCCTTCTTCCCAAAAAAGAATCAAAGTATGTAGATTATGTTAAGTTTTCTACCACTCCTCACAAATCTGCATATACAGATTAAAAATCTGGATAATAGATAAAATTATAAAGTATAATAACATTGTATTTCCTAATCATGTTATATAATCATGTTCTGAGGCTTAGAAGTCCATCTCCAAAATATATTATATAAGAGACATGTTGATTTTGTACTAAGAAAAAAATTACCGTAATAAATGTGGGTGGACAGGGATAGGAAAAAAAAATGTCAAGACTGGATTCACAAGAAACAAATTTATTAGAGATAAAGGTATAAATATATGGAAGGGAAAGGTGTGAGAGAATATGGCACTTTATAGGAATTCCAAGTAATTCAGTATGGCTGGGGCACTGGGAATAAAGAAAAGACAAAACACCCTGGAGACTTTGCATGCCAGACATAGGAATTTGAAATTTATCCTGTAGAGGATGGGGAATCAGCTAAAATTCTTGAAGTAACAGAAGTCACGCAGAATTAGAGATAAGAAAGAAAATAATAATTGCCAAGAGAACAGATGGAGATTTGAACAAATGTAATATTTAAAGAGGTAAAGAAGAGACCTGGAAGATATTTAAAAGACAGAAGTGATAAGGCGAGCCTGGGTGGCTCAGTCGGTTCAAGCCTCTGACTTCGTCTCAGGTCATGATCTCAGGGTCATGGGATTGAGCCCTGCATCGGGCTCTCTGCTCAGTGGGGAGCCTGTTTCCCCCTTTCTCTCTCTGCCTGACTCTCTGCCTACTGGTGATCTCTGTCTGTCAAATAAATAAAATCTTAAAAAAAAAAAAAAAGACAGAAGTGATAAGATACAATGTTACAGATATAGTAAAGTAAAATTACATAGGACTACACACTTCTGGCTCTGATGATGAGGCCAACTTCCAAGGTAAATAAAAGACAGGTCAACAGGGTTTTTGTTTTGTTTTCTTTATGGGGTGGAGGATGCTCAAAGAGTACACAAATTTTTTGATACACAGATTTTGTGAGACCGCTAAAGAGAAAAGTCAGTAGGCAGTTGGATGTCCGAGACTCGGGTTCAGAGAGAAACCAGTGCTAGGCATATAATGTATCAGTAATCAACAGAGATGGGTTAATTTAAGCTCTGCAAATAGATGAATCATGAGGAAGATATACAAAAAAAGAAGATAATGGAACAAAGGAAGAGCAGCGGGAAATGCCAACTTCTAAAAGCCTCACAGAGAAAGAAAAGTACAGGTAAACAACAGCAAGGGAATAAAGAATATCAGGACAGTGATATACCACAGAATCCAGGGGAGGAGGCAGATGAACAAACATCAGTAAAAATGCTATAGAAGTAAGATAATAATTCAGAAGAATCTACTGAAGCTGATGTCAGAAATCTCTATCAGAGCAGTTTCAGGAGAACACTGGTAACAGAAAGTGGTCTACTGTGGGAAAGTAGTAATGGGCAGTGAATAAACACATCCGTGTGGACTATGCTTAAAGAAGCATGGTTGTTCAAGGGGAAAAGCAAGTTTTAGGGGAAATATTGTCTGTTTTTCTTTTCTTTTCCTTTGTTTCTTTGAAGACTTTTCTTCTTTTTTGAAGATGAAAGCATAGGCTTCAGAAACAGAAAAAGAAAGACTAAAAAATTGAGTTCACTATTTGAGCAGATGTCCTTAAAGAGATGAGAAGGAGTAAGACAGAAGATATATGGAAGAATTCACTTCCATCTAGAGGAAAAGCTGATTTTTCTTGTAACTGAAGTGAAAGACGTTAACAGTAGATCGTGATAAACTTGTAAGCATGAGAAGAGGAAGTCAAAGGAATTCATCTCTAATAACCTACTCATGGCTACCACATTTGACTATGTACTTGATCACTCTAGTAGGCATCATTTATACTGAAATAGGGTATGGTATATAAAAAAACACATGTAAATTTCTAAAATAATTTGTTTAAATACTTACCTTCCATAACATCTTTTTCAATTATTTTAACTACTTCTGTTTGATTATTTGTCTGTTGCTTACGAATAGATGTTTTCTTGAATTTATTCACCATACATTCCTATAGAGCAAAACAGGAAGAAACCCAGAAAGTTTTCAGTGAGCACTTAGAATATGCTTAGCATCTAACTAACTCAGCCTATGGAAGATTATATCAGTTACATAAGAACTAGTATCTGTTCTCAAGGAGCTTACAATTCAGTTGAAAATACTATCATAAAATACAAAGAAAGTACTAAGACACTTATAAAAAATATTTGCTTTCAAAATGTATTTTCTATCAACAATAGCCAAACTACGGAAAGAGCCCAAATGTCCACTGATTGATGAATGGATACAGATGATGGTGTGTGTGTGTGTGTGTACACATATACAGAGAGAGACAGATAAAGATATATAGTGGAATATTACTCAGCCATCAAAAAGAATGAAATTATGCCATGTGCCATGTGCCATGATGCAGATGGAGCTAGAGTGTATTATGCTAAGCGAAATAAGTCAGTCAGAAAAGACAAATACCATGGGATTTCTTTCACTCATATGTGGAATTAAATCAAATTTGGAAACAAAACAGATGAATATAGAACAAGAAGGTGGGGGTGGAGAGGGAAACAAACCAAGAAACTCAATGATAGAGAACAACCTGATGGTTGATGGAAGGAGGTGGGTGGGGGATGGGCTAGATGGATGATGCATATTAAGGAGGGCACTTGTTATGATGAGTACTAAGTGTTGTATATAAGTGATGAATCACTGAATTCTACTCCTGAAACCAATATTGCACTGTATGTTAACTAACTAGAATTTAAATAAAAATTTGAAAAGAAAAAAATATATTTTAGGCATAAAGAACAAGAGAAATCAAAGACAGCTAGAAGAGTTAAGAGAAGTCTTCTCAAGGCAGGTGAGTACTTAAGTCCTAAATGATAACTAGGAACAAGTTAAGGAATGAAATTACAGAAAGAAATGTTTCTAAAGGTACACAATTCTCAAAGGATATGGAGGAATGCATGATCATTTTATTTCTAACCCCACAACAATTTCATGCTTTTGTCCAAATTAACTGTATGTACAATTAGCAGTCCAGCTCTAGTCCCTTCCTTAAGCATCCCTGGCCCCAACGATCTTCCCCTTCTCTAAACCCCTCTGCCTACACTCTCACTCCCAGCCCTTCAACTTAACTGTGCCATCTGTGGATATACAAGCACATTCTCTTTCCAACTACTGTTAGTTCACAGAGGGTGGTATCTGTGTCTTTGGTCCCTGCACAGCACCTTTTGTTAAGTATTCAAGAAAAACTATTGAACTGGTAACCACACACCAATAATATAAAGGACACCAAACAGACACCCATTCTCTGGCTCTGAATTCAGACTGCCAACTAACTGATAGAGTTATTACACTGCTCTGAGTGTGATCTTTCATGATGAAAAGGAGTTGTGATGAGGCTCAAATGACACAATGAATGAAAGTACCCAGCACGGTACAAGGTGCAGAGTAGACTCTCAGTGAATGATAACTGATTCTGCATCAACAAACAGTTGTTAAAGGAATTCTTTTCCTGACACCTCTGCTAGAAACTAATGTGAAAAAACATAAAATGTTCTCTCAAATTACAAATCTAAAATCTATTAGAGAGGAATTCACGTTTAATTCTGGGCTTTTTTTTTTTTAAGAACTCTTTAAGTAAACAGTACACTAAATTTTCTAAATTTTTAGAAACAAAACGAGAGATGGGAAACTGAAAAAGTAAAAAAATTAAAGTATCAGATAAAGTGCTTCTCATTTTAAAAATAGCTACTTACATGCAAAAACTCCATAACTACTTTATCAAATTTGGTTTGTTTCTGAATATGATCTAGTGTTTCCTGGTGTGAAGAACTTTCCAGATGTAGCTCAATATCTTTTTCTTCAAACGTTCGGAATTTACAAAAGGAACATGTGAATGCCATTCTATAAAGAAAAAAAAAGTTTTCTTTAAATATTACCTTATTTACTTAGAGTTCATAAGACCATACTAATAAAACAAATTTTACCAGCATAAATGATTTCCTTTATTCCATTTTATGGTTGATCTAAATTTAGCTGAAGTCAGAAAAATCAGTATTTCTTTAAATACCTATTTGGACAACACTGTTATTATACCATTTTACATTTCTGGCCCACCCTGGAACTCCTTGGTACAAACGATGGAAATCAGTGGATCTACTTAATCTGGTCCTAAGCTATCCACGTCAAGTCTAGACTAGTTAGAAAGCCAAAGCAAACTTCAAAAAATATCAAGTTCCAAAGTTTCATTACTTATTTTATTTTCTGTTCCACTCTTAAGCTCGCAACCCACCAACGTAGTATCAACAAAGCCAGGTGGAATACCAGACAATCCTAATTCACTCCCCTGGAGCTCTTCGATGAGCAAAAGTCTGCCCTTTAGGGACTACTTCAGGATGACTGATAAGCCTGGACCAGACAAATTTAGAAGCTCAGCAGTCACTTCAATATGAACTTCCCCTTTTCCTCCCATAAAGTGTTCCCGTCTTATATATTCTTTTTATTTCCTCTTCCTTGAATTATGACAAGTTTCTTAACTGGTGTCTTTGTCTCCAGTCTCCATTTTCCAATTAATTCTTTATACCACTATTATATTTATTTTCCTGGTTAAAATTATGGGATCTGTAGCCTACTGCTGGGTTTATATCCTAGCCCTCTTGTGTGATGTTGGGCAAATTACTTAACTTCTCTGGGCCTTAGTTTTCTGATCTTAATGAGATAAAAACACTTAGAGAAGTACTGTGAGGATTAAACAAAAATAACATATAGAAAACCCTTAGGACAGTTCCTGGCACACAGTAATAATTCAATTAATAACTGTCACTTCCTAAAGGAGGCAACAGCATTTCACTGCTCAAAAGACTTACCAACTTCATGGACTTAAGCCTCAAAAAACAAAGTCAAAACACTTTCAGCTGCCATTTAAGAAAGTTTTTAATCTCTCCTGTATTTTTTGGCTTTACCCACTAAATACTTTTAAAAGTATCTGGCACATGGTATGTCTTCGTTGTTTAAATTACACTTTTCAACCCCCACTAGATTAATTTTCAATCTACACAGCTTTCCATTTCCTGAATATCAATGAAACATTCCTGTTTCTTTCTTTGTCCTCGAACCATGCCCTCTGTCTGGGCTGCCTAACAGCTCCTATTGCAATCCTACCCTCCCTGAGTCAGTTGAAATACCACCTCCAACCATCTCCCTGATTTTCCTGTACTCCTACTGAGAAGTTATCTCCTGTAAGACCTTTGTACTTCTCTTCTGGCACTCCTTCCCATATATTATTGTTTTTCTGTACCTCTCACACCCCTGTCCTCTTCCCCCCGGGCTCCCTTCTTCTTTATTTTATTCAAAGCATTCAAATATCCAAAAAGAACTATCGTAAGAATAGTTATTCACTGTCAATCTCTTATCCTCCTAACTCAAAATAAAACTGTCCTGATGAACTAAAGTAATTTTTAACTATTTTTGATGATTCTTATCCTAAAATGACAATTTAATTGAACTGACATTTTTTGGCTTCTATCCTCAGATTCATATTTAGGGTTGTGGAGAAAACAGCTAAATCAAAGTTCAGTTCTTCCATTTTCTCCAAATCACACACTTATTAACATGGATATATCCTATCCAAAGCTACAATTTTTAAAGGGGGAAGTATTCATAGGGTAAACAGAAAAATTATTCTTATAATGTAAAACACCTCGAGTCCTACACACCTGAAACAGAATTCATTCCAATTTGTTTCCACCCCTGTCAAAAGAAGGAATTCTATCCACAGTGGCAGAGATACTCATAAGGACCAAAACTAGCTAACTTTTAAAAGCTAGAACTTCTTTTCATGAGTTAATCCTTAATAAGCTTAATCCTACTATCTACAAATTATGAGTAACAAATCAGAAAGAACATAGGACAAGGTTATTGAAGCTAGACACAAAGATTATACAAGCACAGTTGACCCTTGAACAATAGCAGTTTGAAATGCACAGGTTCCTCGTATGCAGATTTTCTACAGCATAGTTCTGTAAATGTATTTTCTCTTCCTTAGGATTTTCTTAATCTTTTCTTTTCTCTAGCTTACTTTATTGTAATAGAGTATACAATACCTGTAACATACAAAATACGTGTTAAATCAACTGTTTATGTTATCAGCAAGACTTCTAGAAAACAGGTGGCTATTGGCAGTTTTGCAGGAGTCCAAAGTTACACATGGATATGTGACTGGATGGAGGTTAGTGCCCCAACCCCCATGCTGTTTATGGGCCAACTGTAATACCGAGCTCAATAAAATAAAAGACGGTCTAAGCAAACAAAAATATCTGGGAATCCAGATGTCAGTGAATTTTCTTTTACTGCATTTTACATAAATAAAATCAACGTATATATTAGAACCAAGTAGTAACAAAGAATATCCTATTTAATATGGAAGAAAACAGATAATTTAAAAAACATTTCCATAGAAAGGTCTTCAGATGCTGCTCTTAAAAATGTTATCTTCTTGGGGCACCTGGGTAGCTCAGTGGGTTAAGCCTCTGCCTTTGGCTCAGGTCATGATATCAGGGTCCTGGGATCGAGCCCCTAATCAGGCTCTCTGTTCAGCAGGGAGCCTGCTTCCCCCTCTCTCTCTGCCTGCCTCTCTGCCTACTTGTGATCTCTGTCAAATAAATAAATAAAATATTTTGAGAAAAAAAAAATGTTATCATCTAAACTAACAAAGTTTTAGACATCTAGAAAATTCACTAATGTGTAATAATTCATTCCCCTCATGCTACACAAAACAAATCAACTTTTAAAGAGCAAAACTAGGAGTGCCTGGGTGGCTGTTGGTTAAGCAACTGTCTTCAGCTCAGGTCATGATCCCAGGGTCCTGGGATAGAGTCCCCTGTTGGGTTCCTTGTTCAATGAAGAGTCTTCTTCTCCCTCTGCTCCTCCCCACTTCTTGCACGCATGTGTGTGTGCGTGCGTGCGCGCACACACACACAACATGCACACACAGAGTCTCTAACTTGCTCTCTATCTCAAATAAAAATCTTAAAAAAAAATAAAGAGCAAAACTATATTCTAAATAGAAAATACACTGAATTTACTTTTTACATTTTATAATCTTTAGCTTCCTAGCATAAGCAGTAATTTAAGAAAAAGATGATGGAAAAAATATCAATTACTGTCCTTTAAAAAATTTTTCTTTTAGGCTTTTTCATGCATATTTAACATGTTGTATAGAACACTTTTTCTATTTTGCCTGCGTTTTCTCCATGTTAATGCAGGCTTTGTAACTTTCATTTCCAACAATGGCCTAAGAGCCCATAAAGGGAGTGTCAAAACTTCCATATACTTGACCACTTGCTATCACTGGTATTTGTTTCATTGTTTGGAGCTACTATAAACAATCTTTTTAGATTAAACTCTTTTATACTTTTATATTATTTTCTTGGAGAGACCACCAACTATAAAAAAATCCAAAACATTTTTAAAAACTGCTAAATTGGGGTCACCTGGGTGGCTCAGTCAGTTAAGCTTTGGACTCTTGTTTAGGCTCATGTCAGATCTCAGGGTTGTGAGATGGAGCCTGGCACTGCGTTCCACGCTAGGTGTGGAGCCTGCTTACGATTCTCTCTCCTTCTCCCTCTGCCTCTCCCCTCTCCCCCACTCTCAAAATTAATAAATAAATAAATAACCTGCTAAATTGCTTCCCAGTAATTATAACCATACTATTTGGTTATCAGCAAATTATAACAGCGTACTTTAACTGTATCCTTGTTGGTAAACCAATGTTTCCTTTCTCCTCACTAATAAAATGCCATGCTATTATTTAAATTTTCAGTTTATCTTATAGTGAGTTTCAACATTTTCCTGCAAATTATTAACTAGCTGGTGTTCCTTCAGACAATCATGTACTGAGCATCTTGTTTTTTTCCTAAGTAAAAAACAAAAAAACAATGTTTGCGCATGCTTGGGTGGTTCAGTCAGTTAAGCATCCGATTCTGATTTCAGCTCAGGTCTGGATCTCAGGGTTGTGAGATCCAGCCCCACATCCAGCTCCTTGCTGAGCATGGAATCTGCTTAAGAGTCTTTCTTTTGCTCTGCCTCTGCCCTCTGCCCCTGCCCACTCTCTCTCCAAAAACAAAAAAAAAAAAAAAGAAAGAAATACTGGTTGGGTGCTATTTATCTTAGACACATTAATCATTTCTTGTGTTAATATTTTCCAAGTCTGTTTGCTTTCAAGTTTTAAATTTTTATTTAAACTAATGTGGTCATTATTTCCTTTGTAATTTATTCTATAACTTTTAAGCCTAGGAAAAAAACTTCTATAATGATTATTTATAAATACGCTATTTTAGTTTCCTGTTATTCTCCATTTTGTAGGTTCTTTAATCCACCTGGATTTCATCTTCACTGGTATAAAAAGATGTAAACTATTTATCTTCTTATTGTTCAGTTGTTCAAGCAACCCCTCTCCCCCTATTTTTAAGCAATTCCCCTTTTGTTTGCAACCTCTTCTTTATTAAATATTATATTCTTATTATAACACATGTATTTACAAGTTAATAATTCTATTACACTCAACATTTTTCCGGTACCACATATTTTTAACTATTACAACTTTATAATGTTTCAATTATCTCAAAAGCTAGATACTCTTCTTTTACAGAATCTTCTTTGGAATCAAGATTGACAACACCTGTTATATTTCTAAATATTGTTTTCTTATCCAAGAATATCACTAAGTCTCTCTGTACTCAAAGGTCAAGACTTTGTGGTTTTCTTTGTGTTATGACATGTATTTCTTTTTAAGAATACTGTATTTCCAGGTATTTTTTACTTTTTGATTACCATTCTGAATGGAACTTTTTTTCTTCTATTTTCTAAAGAGTGACTGCACAGAAATACCCAAGATCTTTGATCAGACCTTTCATTTGACCTTCATGAATTTTTTCACATTCTAATTGATGTATCTGCATTTTCTAAGAAACTGTTTTTAATGAGACCAATTTTCAGACTCTACTAAGCACAAACCTGTATCCATCTCCATATTTCTCACTGTTTTTTTCTCTTCTGCGTCTTTGTTTCTCTCGCCGAGCCTCAATTCGTCGCTTTTCTTCTTCCTCATTTTTAGGATCAGTTTTTGCTAGGATATCAGCAAAAGTCAAAACTAAAAATCATTTTTCCAATCTCCCTTTTTAGTTTCTACTTCATAAAGTATAGACATGCAAGTTCACCTGCTGACCACAATCTAAATTGAACTCACCAGAAAAATCAGTTTGAGATTAACCAGTATTTCTGCAACTTCATTCATATAAATACCATCATCATGAATTCAATGCTTTCAGATAATTTTTTCATGTTCATATGACGAACTACATGGTGATTACAACTGTAGAAGTTAAACCCATGAATCACCCACTATAGTACTAATCAGTCACGAACATCAAAATTACCCAAAGATACTTTTTAAAAATGCATATGTCCCAAGGTGCCTGGGTGGCTCAGTCAGTTAAGCCTCCAATTCTTGGTTTTGACTTAGGTCAGGATCTCAGGGTTTTGATATAGAGCCTGATGCAGGCTCCGCGCTAAGGGAAGAGACTGCCTTAGATTTTTCTCCCCCTACACCCACCCCCGCTCCTCCCCCCAGCCTGTACTCTCTCTGTCTTAAATAAACAACAAACAGATCTTTAAAAATTCACATGCCCTTGTCCACCTCACTTGCCTAAATCCTTGTTTAGGATGGAATCAGAACATCTGTATGCTTTAAAAGGCTTCTCACATGATTTTGATTCAGACTTTTGTCTTGGCTATTATATTTATTGTTGGGAGCTACTGCTGAAGATACAGTATTGCCCCATTACACAGAATCCCCTTCAGAGGGCAAAGGGAAGAAATTTTTCATGGTGCCCGGTACCAGGAAAAAGTGTGCTTCTTCTGGCAGATTGCTTTGCTTTTAATCTGTGGACATGACAACTCTTAGAGATAGTCACATTTCCGACTTTACATTGTTAAAAAAATCAAGAGCCAATCTGAAAATGAAATTAAGGAAACCATTTCATTCATGTTAGCATCAACAAGAGCATATACTCAGGAATAAATTTAACAAAAGAAGTATAGAACTTATACCTCAAAAACTACAAAACATTGCTGAAAGAAGTTAAAGAAGATCTAAATAAATGGAAAAACTAAATAAAGGGTTCAGAGATCTGAAGACTTAAAACTGTTAAGGTGGTTTTACTCCCATACTGATGTATAGTTTTAGCATAATCCCTGGCAGAATTCTGCCTGACTTCTTTGCAAAAATTGACAAGTTGATTCTAAAGTTCACAGGGAATTGCAACGCATTTAATAGCGGAAACAATATAGAATAATGTCAGCAATCCTAAAAAGAAAAACAAAGTAGAAAGACTCACATTTCACCTTACTAAGAAAGACTGAACACTTCTCAGTCATCAAGGCAAAAATAAATATACAAAAAGAAAAAAAACAACAAAAAGTAATTCAGTGTACAAATAAATATAGACAAAATATTTGGTATATATTATTTTGCTGCTATGTTTTCACAAAGAATGCTGAAAAGACTTTCCTTTAGCTTTTATTTAGTATATCCTTGCCTTCATCTAATTTGATCAGATGTACCTGATTTCATGTAGAGATACATTACAAAGTGAAAAAATAAAATACAATATAGATAAGTAAGAGAGTAATCTGCCTCTGAACTTCTTTATAAAAAAACTTTACTGATTCACATACCCTACAATTCACCGATTTAAAGTGTACAACAACCCACTGGTTTTTAGTGTATTCACAGGTATACGCAAATATCACCATAATCAATTTCAAAACATTTTCATCACCTCTTAGAGACCTAGTACCTGTTAGGCATTATTCCTCACTCACACCACAGCCCAGAGCTGTCGCAGCCGGCGCGACAAATAGACCAGGGTCGAGAGGGTAAGAGGATGCTGAAAAGAAATTAAGAGACAAAGAGATGGGGGCAGGAGGAGCACCAAGGAGGATGTCCAATAGTGCCAATTTTATTCAAGGTAGTAAGGCATTATATAGCTAACAGAAACAATCATAAGAAAGTATCTATTTTTAGCTGATTACTAAAGAGTTTGCAACATGCACAGAAATCCTTCAAGCCTTCCCATTATCTATTTCCCAAGCACCAGTAGCAGACCCTCTAGTGCCAGATGTACTGACTTCAAGGCCACGCAAGACATAGTTTATGCAAGCATAGCACAGTCTTACAGTGGTGTAGTCTATAGCCCGTGCAAGGACAGCAAGGACCAGCCAAGAATTTCTGACCCCGGCCAAATCGTCTCTATCTGACTAGCGAACCTGTGGGAAGTCACGTAGGCGAGCGCACAACACATAGCGCAGACCCTTTCTCAGTGCTACTCGACTTTATCGACCTAAGCCTTTTGTTCGGCTGTTCAGACTTTAAAGGAGGCACAAGTCAGGGCCTGGTTTGGCTCTCGTCTCAAGCCTTACCGTGGCCTCCCACACAGAGCAACCACTAACTTAGGTTCTATCTTTATCCATTTCTGTATTCTAGACTTTCATATGAAAAAAAGTCATGTAGAATGTGGACTTTTATAACAGGCTTCACTTAGCATAATCCTAAAAGGTTCATCCAAGTTATAGCATGTAACAGTACTTCATTCCATTTTGTGGCTGGAAATATTCCACTGTATGAATATACCACATTTTCTTTATCCATTCATTCACTGATGAGTATTTGGGTTGCTTCTACCTTTTAGCTACAATGAATACTGCTGCTACAAATATCTGTATATAAGTTTTTTTGTGAACACCTGTTTTCATTTTGTATATCCTAAATATATATCCAAGAGAAGTATTGCTGAATCATATGGTAACTGTGTAATCATTTGAGGAGGAACATGTTTTCCAGAGCAGCTGCACCATTTTACATTCCCACTAGCAGTGTAGGAGAGCTCTGATTTCTCTGTATCCTCACTAAAGACTTATCTGTCTTTATTATTCTAGCCATGCAAATCATATGAAGTAATATCTCATTGTGGTCTTGATTTACAATTTCCTGATAACTAGTGGCAGAGCATTTTTTTCTGACCAGCTGACCATAGTTTTATGAATTGATTTCTGGACCTATTTTTTTATTTGTACCATTCAAAATTACTTGAGATCATAAACAACATACGTGCCTGTCAGAATATTACCACTTGTACAACTCTCTGACAACTCCTCTTCAGAGTTCCTAATTGATGTTTTCCCATGAAAAGACCTTAAAAGACATCTTTATTTCACTAAAACCTGGCTTAAAAACTAAGTTTATTGGCTATTCGTATAACTTTCTTGGAAAAATGCCTGTTTAGAGATTTTGTTCACTTTTCAGTGGGCTGTCTTTTTAGAGTTGTAGAAATTCTTTATACATTCTAGGCAGTTTCCTTTTCAGATGTATGATTTGTTAATGTCATCTGCCACTCTGAGTTGCCTTTTTACTCTTCTGATGGTATCCTTCGAAGCACAAAAGTTTTTAATTTTAATAACGTCCAATTTATCTTTTTTTTTCTTTTGTTGCTCAGTTATTTTGGTTTTCTAAGAATTCCTTGTCAAATTCCAGAGTCATGAAGGTATACTTCTATGTTTTCTTCTAAGAGTTTTATAGTTATAGTTCTTACCTTAGGTCTTGCACTTTCACATTTGAATGTGGCTATCCAGTTGCCCAGCATCACTTGCTGAGAAGACTGTTCTCTACCAACTGAGTAATTCTGGCATCCCTGCTAAAAACCAGCTGACCATAGTTTTATGAATTTATTTCTGACTCTCAGGTCTGTTCTGTTGATCTATATGTCTGTCCTCGTGCCAGTACCATAAGGTCTTGATAACTGTGCCTTTGTAGCAAGTTTTTAAATCATGAGTGTGAGTCTTTCTACTTTGTTTTTCTTTTTAGGATTGCTGCCACTATTCTATATTGTTTCCGCTATTAAATGCGTTGCAATTCCCTGTGAACTTTAGAATCAACTTGTCAATTTTTGCAAAGAAGTCAGGCAGAATTCTGCCAGGGATTATGCTAAAACTATACATCAGTTTAGGGAGTAAAACCACCTTAACAGTTTTAAGTCTTCAGATCTCTGAACCCTTTATTTAGTTTTTCCATTTATTTAGATCTTCTTTAACTTCTTTCAGCAATGTTTTGTAGTTTTTGAGGTATAAGTTCTATACTTCTTTTGTTAAATTTATTCCTGAGTATATGCTCTTGTTGATGCTAACATGAATGAAATGGTTTCCTTAATTTCATTTTCAGATTGGCTCTTGATTTTTTTAACAATGTAAAGTCGGAAATGTGACTATCTCTAAGAGTTGTCATGTCCACAGATTAAAAGCAAAGCAATCTGCCAGAAGAAGCACACTTTTTCCTGGTACCGGGCACCATGAAAAATTTCTTCCCTTTGCCCTCTGAAGGGGATTCTGTGTAATGGGGCAATACTGTATCTTCAGCAGTAGCTCCCAACAATAAATATAATAGCCAAGACAAAAGTCTGAATCAAAATCATGTGAGAAGCCTTTTAAAGCATACAATGTTCTGATTCCATCCTAAACAAGGATTTAAGCAAGAGAGATGGAATGTGAATTTTTAAAATTTTTAGCTCTGGGTAATTTCGATGTTCATGATCGACTTATAACTACACACTTGGTGATTCAGAAATCTACAATTTCTACGACTATTTCTATGATTATAATTACTATGCAGTTTGTCATATGAACATGAAAAAATTATCTAAAACACCAAATGTTTAAAAAATTGGAAGTACCTTAAGCAATAGCAATTACATTTTCTTACTTACTGGGTGATTTGCTGAGGCTCATCTTCTCCACAGGTTTTGCTAGCTTGGGTTTCTTGATAAAGGTTCCACCAGGCTTATTAAATGGTTGCATCATTTTTCTCTTTATTCCTCTTGCAGCGGCAACTGTCACATTGGTGGGTTTGTTTTGATAGTCAACAACAATTCCAGGTCTATGAATGCTTCCAAAATCACTCATATGCTGCAAATTTGTGAAATCAAGGAATATTAGCATAGTATCCAAAGGTAAAGTAGGAATTCACACAAAGTTTACATGTTATCTATCTAGTAATTTTCACCTGAAAATTCCCCAGAATGTACCTAATTTTACATGTCCACTCTGAATAAACACATTGAAAAGCTTGTCAATTATAACATGAACTCAAATCCAGTGAATTAGTAGTTTTATTTCCAGTAGAACAAATATGGATATTTCCTACCTATTTTTTTATTTGTACCATTCAAAATTACTTGAGATCATAAACAACATATGTGCCTGTCAGAATATTACCACTTGTACAACTCTCTGACAACTCCTCTTCAGAGTTCCTAATTGATGTTTTCCCATGAAAAGACCTTAAAAGACATCTTTATTTCACTAAAACCTGGCTTAAAAACTAAGATGCATAAAGAAGATCATATTTGAAGTCTGAAGTAAAAAAGATCCAGAAATCATTTAGGATTTCTCCCTGTTGAAAAAGGGAATGAGAAGGCGAGATGGAACATTAGTATGAAATAGGAGAGTTAAAGCATAACCATGCATCAACTTCCAGGACACACTTCAGATAAAGAATTACATCTGACGTTCCATTCACATCCTTACCTAGAGAAACATATTCTGACCCAGAAGCCCAAGAAGCGAAAGTTTACAGACGAAGAGTCATGCAACCAAACGACTCTTGTGTCCCTTCCTCTTCTCTTGTCATTAACAAAATCCACTACACCAAGAGGCCACGTGTCCACAGAAATTTATTCTGCTAATCTTACTTTTACAAGATAAAGATTGAGGAGTAATCTGAAGAGAAGGATCCAATGGGAATTGTACAAGTGAAGATTAAAAAAGAAAGTCCTGTTGGTTCATCTACTTCTTTAACAGGAGAAAGAAAGAAAAGTCCATTCAGACTAGAATGGTGAACACAAAGTACAGGAATGCCTGTTTTTCTATTGTGGAAAACAAAATTAATATATGAAGTCTCATTAAGAAAAAAAAATCATTTGCCTAAAGTAATACACAGCATGGAAAATGTTAAGTGTTTTTCAAATTTTTAAACTGGAATTGATTTTCAACTTCAAAACCCAAAGCCTATTACCCCAACAATTTTCAATTAACCTACAGTCACTAATTATGGTGGAAAAGCAACATATTAGTTGCTTACATTTATGTATTACGCTTAGGAATCCCTAGCTAACCTAGTAGATTTGAATAGATTAGTGTTACCAGGTAATTTATAGTCACATTAGAAATATCTTCATTAATTATCCATTAAAGGTGCAATGCATTTTACATAAGTAAAGGGTAACTGTTATAAATGCAAAATTTCTACACAAAAATGACAAACTACACTCATGTACCAAAGGCTAACAAACAGTTAAATACGTGTGCCCTACTACATTTTTTTTTATCAGAAGTACTTTACTCTGCAAAGAGAATATTAAGAGTAACTGATTTTAAAAAGACAAAAAAAATTTCTTACATTAAAGTAAAAACACAATATCCTTCATATGACCAAACTACAAAACTCCACAATCTATGTACACTTACTAGGTAAAATTTCAGGTCAGTCAAGTTATCTAAGAACATAAATCATTATGTTTATACTATACCCTGAAATAAAACACTTGAAGACTAGTATATTTACTCATGCTAGCAATGATTTACAAAATACTACTTCCTAGGAAGGAGCCAGAGACATGTTTGTACAGGTAGGAACTCATTTCTCAATAGTAAAAACTAGAGACACAAGGGAAAACAGAACACCCAGCAATAGGACATATTGCAAGAGAGTGAGTTAGTAATTATAGTGACCACAAATCATTCTACAACCTATTAAACTTATCAACTTCTTCACCATGTAAACATGGCTAAGCTACCCTCATCTATCACCAACTTTTAGTCCCTTGTGTTTATTGTGAAATATGGAGCTCTGAAGAAATTCTATGTGCTAGAGTTAGCAGCAAAGTATAAACATTTTATCATACATTGCACCTTTAACCTACTCAAAAACTCCAAAGGTTTCAGTTACCTTTTACAATAATCCAAGAACTGTCCCACCAGCAAAACTGCTAGTGTTTACAAGGAAAAATGCAACTCCTTTTAACCCCTTTTAGACCAAAACCTAATATCCTCACCTTTTTAATAAAGGGAGATTTGGCAAAACTTATGAACAATCATCTCCACACTGCCACTTAATTTTCTGAAGTGCTGAAAAAACTTTTACAGGCAACCTAAAAATTATGCTTATGATTGAGCTTTTGCTTCAAAATACACTGGGATGAACAGTGTTTATTCTAGATGAAAACCATGGTCTTGAAAGGGTTTAAAAGAGTGACTAGTGAAAAGAATCTGAAAAGATTCTGTTGTACTTACTCCTCGGCCTCGGCCTCTGCCTGTTGATGGTCCTCCAAAAGCATCATAGTTTCTGCTTCCAAACGTACTTTCAGGATAAGCAGGCGTTCCTCTCCCCCGAGAGCCTACAGGTGCAGGCTTCATATGGGGTGAAGAAAAACTGCTGTAGGAAGAGTAATTCTCTCTTCCTCTGTCCTCCATAAACCCAGGCCTCAATTTTGAACGGGAGTAAGGTGCTTCCCAGCTAGACCCGCCCTGGTTTCTACCTCCGAAAGAGTCAAGGCTATTCCGGTAGGAGCTCTCAAATCGACCACCATAACTACCTCCGAAGCGGCTTTGTTCGGGTTCATTAAAACCATAGCCAGATCTGTACAGATCTCGCCCACCCAGAGAAGACCTGGAGTCGTAAGACTCATAAGGTCCAAACCTGGAAAAGTTGCACAGTGAGGGAAAAAACAAAAGTAAGCTTACTAATGTTAGACAATTCAAAAGACAAATTATCAGATGACATTTATCAACTAAAATTCATTTATACCATACTGGTTTGCACAGTTCTACTTTTATTCACACCTGATTAGGGCTGGGCAGTTCAACATGAGACCAGATAGAAAGCTATCTGAGTCAATTTTTAAGTATGAATTGAGTTAAGTAAACCTTAGCTTAAAAATCTGCTTTGTAGCAGCTTTTCTATTTTATTAAAATGATTTGTCTGTCAGTATTTAAGCCCAGCCCTAGTCTTGGAAAAAGTCATTTACTAAAGTTCACAAGCTATTCAAACTTTCTTTGAATCCATCCCTAGTATTGGAAAATACCAAATATTTACAACATTTTGGCTTTCAATAGGGACAGAAATTGAAGACTACACCGATATAAGCTATTTGTGACACAAAAGAGATCCTTTTGCACCCCCAATAATCTATATCACAAAACTGCTTCATTGTGTCTATAGCAGTTAAAATTTGGAGAATTATCTCTGGTTATGAAATTTGATATCCTGCCCAACTTTGGGTAAGGTCAATAATCAATCCTCAGTCACTCTCCACTTGTAGAGACTAGCAAATCTAACAAATCTAGAAGGATAAGGACATAAAATAGAACATAAAAGTAAAAGACCACCAACATATATCCTCTGCACATAAATTATCAAGGCAGATGAGAAGAATACATTTTAAGTCTTCAATTATTTAAAAAATTCTTTCCTGGCAGGAAATTATCACATAAAACTACTCTAAAAAGGAGCACACAGTCTCCTCAAGGTTTTAATAGAGTCAACAGAAGAAACAAATCATCTTACTTCTCACAAATCCAAAGCATGGATTACAAAAGTTGCTTGATATCTTACAACATAATTTTATAAAGGCCCACAATTACACATGAGATAAACAATAACATCTACATAGTTTATGCACAACACATTTACAATGCAATACGGCAATAATGGATATATTAAAATATTTATTTAAATGTGTTACATTACTTCAATTATTTACAGATCACTAAGTAGAATTACTATTTACTTCTGAATCCTGGTAACCATATAAAAATTACTCCTCTTTCCAACTCTTTTTAAAACATCTATCACATATGCAAAATTGTTTTATCTGTTCATCTTTTTTATTTTCCACTACCATAAACCATAGTGGCATATTCGAAGCAGAAAGAAGGAAAGTAAAGCATCATTCAATCCATCCTTAAGGAATCCAGATCCTTCAACTTATGAAGAAGGAGGATAGTTTCAAATGTTACCTAACTAGTTGTATTTAGTAGAAATATCTGTGCCTGTACCCTCTTTGCCTGAAATGTGGTCAATGCTAAAGTCTATGCTAGTTCAACTAGTGTTGAGCTTTACACAGTATCAACAGTAAAATATAAAAACAATCTGAACTCTAGTACATTAAAATAAATGAAGGTATAGTATTCATGGCTTTGATACAATGCTCCTGGCTTAGAGCATGGTGTCTTTGGTATAAGTAGTATCTGCCAATAAATAACCTAGACATGAACTTAAAGAATGTTTTACTATTACAATATGCTCTTACAACTTACTCTAAAATTAAAATTAAAAGAATAACTATCTTAAATGTTTCTCAGAAACTAAATGCTGCTAGACTGGTTCAGTTAAACCCATTCCAGTCAAAAACTGATTTGCTGCTTTACAGAACACCCCACCTTAGAAAAGATACTTTTAAAACTCATAAATAAAATAACTTCACAAATAATATTTCCAATAACATTCTTATATCATTTGTTCAGAACACTGTGAATGATAAGGAGTAAAAAGTAAAAGAAGCTTAAAAAAAATTCACTAATGAAGACAGAAAATCTTACTCTATTGTACTGAAATGAAAATAGCTAAAGTTTTCCTAAAATAATGTCTGTCAGTGGCCCTGAGATAATTTTTAGAACCATTAATTAACACCTTTAACATTTAAGGTGATTATTCAATACCAAATAGTGAAGTTCAAGTATCATAACATGCCTAAGGAATACTTAAATTAAAATATCCAGAATCTTATAGTCATGTAATTATTTGGCCAAGTGATTAAGCAATTTACCTGCTACCCCCACCACCACCACTGTGATTGTCCATGCCATATGACTGGTTTAGGTAGGAGTCCATGGATCTTTGACCCCCATAGGATCCATGGCCATAGTCACGGTCCATCCCTATAAAGAGTTTAAAAAGAAAAAAAAAAATTAAATGATGCTCACCTTTACTGGCACCCAAAAGAAGAATTTTTAGATAAATATCCTTGAATGTCAGACCTCCATAAGATCCGGGGCCATAATCACGATCCATTCCTAAAACAGAGTTAATAACAAAAGGTCAGTAAGATATACCATACTCTTTAGCAATCTTTGCATAAAACACAAGATATCTGAGATGTATCAGTTATCTGAGATAATTCATCAATAACATTTAAGCTAAACTCACACTAGACATGGAAGAAAAAAACTCAGAGGATAAGCTACTGAAAAATCAGATTTGCTAAGAAAACTTAATTTTTCAAAAAAAATTATCAAAAAAATAGACAAAAAAAAATTATCAACTAAAAAGTTCTATGTTAGAATTATTTTCAGTTTAGCCAAAATTTAACTGATTAGCATATTCCTTTAAGGTTCTATCTTAGGAATGACATCATATGTAATCAATAATAAATAATTCCTACTCATAAGGAAAGTCAGCTTTTAATAATGCCAATAAGACAAATTTTTGTTTCAAGTATAGTTCTTGTATCTAACTGCCCTCAAATTGTCTAAAAATCCAGGAGCTGCCACATTTTCAACTAGCCTAATTTCAATTTGTTCATATACTAACTGAAACAGACATTTTAAAAAGTAAAATCATGGAGTAGGGGGCCAATCTGTGGTACTAGGTCTATAAATAATAATAACAAACATTTAAATTCTCAAATACTCTGAATAAAGGGAATGAACGTGAACTCTAGCAATGCAAAACACTAAAAAAATTTCTAATATATTAAGGGTACTGAGTATATTTTATGACACTGCAATTCCACCTATATCCCAACCTCTAACATGAAAAATACAACAAGAGGTAATAAAATGAATTTACTACGATTATAAAAAGTGAAAAGTTTTTTAATCCATTTAGAATGTGTCCTATAAAGTCCTTTAAAATCCTTTATTACCACTTTCCCCAAATTTTATGCACTAATAAATATAACAGTGTACACAGAGCAAATACCTTCATTTATATTTTTTAAACACTAAATTTTAATTACAATCACTTAAATATTTCTGATCCTAACAACAGCAACAATAATAATGACAACAGCAACAACTTCACAAAAATACCACTCAGAATCTTGCAACTTTAAAGCTGGAGGCAATCTAAAAGGATAAAATTCAATCTTATTTTATAGATTAGGGAGCTAAAATCCAAAAAGATGAAATGATTTTCCCGAAGTTCAGTAAGTATCCACCCTTCTAGCTTTATGCTGTAGCTTTTACGTGAAATGCTCTCCTCTAAAACCCCAAATATCTGCATCTTGAAATCTCATCTTTTAAAGTCCATTTCAAACACTAACACTTCCAGGAACACTTTTAATGATACTGTCTCAGTTGATTATCCTCTCTTTCTTCTAAATAGCTACAAGTCTGTAGCTCTTATATGGTGCTTGTGATACTCTGCCTTACATTCTGCAACTTGTGGCCTCATCTTAAATGTACAACAGTCTTGTGGTCAGGGTCTGATTTTTATTAGTTCTCTTATATATCCCAGAGCCACAGATCTCAAGGAATAATCTGTTCACCATTGGGAGTTGCCAGCGACCTTTCAGGGTTCCACAAGATTAAACTCCAGGACCCTTTTGGGATCCACAAGATCAAACTATTTTCATAAAAAATACTGCAACATCATTTGCCTTTTTCACAGGTTGACATTTGCACTGAAGAAGCAAAAGCACTGGTGGGCAAATCTGCTGGTGCCACAGCACAAATCAAGGCAGTGGCACCAAACTGTACTAGCAGCCACTGCAGTCCTCAACAATGCACACTTGCAGTAAAAAATAATTAAAAAAGAAGTGCCATCTCCATTTACAAATGTTCCTGATGAACCAGTAAGAAGTATCAATTTTATTAAATCGCCACCTTTGAGTACATTTTCTTTCCGATATTCTCTGTAGTGAGATAGGAACTACACATCAAGAAAGCCAATTTGCTGCACACCAAAGTACCACAGTTTACTCCAGGAAAAGCCATCATGCAAGTGCCTGCTTAACTGAATTAGCCACCTTACAAGGAAGACTTTTTTATTAGATTGACAGACCAACACTCAAAAACTAAGGCTGTCAGACTTGAGCATTTGGCAGACATTTTCTCAAAAATGAACAAAGTAAAACTCAATTCAAGGAAAACAAGTAACAGTACGTGCTGCCAAGAAAATGTGCACTTTCAAGTGGAATTGAGAATTTTATAAAGCTTGTATGTACCAATACGCATAACAGAGCACAAAACGTTCATCAGTACGCAAAAAGTATGGATGAGCTCTTTTACATGGTTCTTTTCACACTAAGACTGCCTACGATATATGTAATTTACATTGACGGCTCACCTCCATTCCAACTGTCTACACCGCAAGTGCTCAATGTGGCCAGTGGACCATTTTAGAACAAACAGTTCTAGACTAATAAAATAGTCAGTTATTTGTCTTTAGAGTTGGTAACTTATGTTCATACTATCTCAGATAGAGGGCAATTTTGAAATTAAAATAAAAATTTCAAAATTAAAAGCCTTTTTTCTAAGCCTTATATTAAAAATAATCTTAAGGGGTGGGTCAGGTGGCACAGTAGATTAAGCATCCAACTCTTGGTTTCACCTCAGGTCATGATCTCAAGATCATGAGACTGAGCACCACCTTGGGCTCTCCACTCAGCGCAGAGTCTGCTTGGGATTCTGTCTCTCTCTCTCTCTCTCCCTGCCCCTCCCACTGTTTGCATCCTCTCTCTCTAAACAAACAAATAAATAAATAAAAGCTTTAAAAAATAAATAAGAAGAAGAATAATCTTAAGAGTTAGGTTCAGTGGGACGCCTGGGTGGCTCAGTTGGTTAAGCGGCTGCCTTCGGCTCAGGTCATGATCCCAGCGTCCTGGGATCGAGTCCCACATCGGGCTCCTTGCTCCGCGGGGAGCCTGCTTCTCCCTCTGCCTCTGCCTGCCTCTCTGTCTGCCTGTGCTCGCTCACTCTCTCTCCCTCTGTCTCTGACAAATAAATAAATAAAAAATCTTTAAAAAAAAAAAAAAAAAAAAAAGAGTTAGGTTCAGTTAGGTACATAAAGCAAAAAGTCTTATATTTTATTTCTGCTAGTTTCAATTTTGAGATCACAGAGGCTGCATTTGGATACTAAATCCTTGTTTTTTTATTCTGTGTGTTTTTATTTCACTATGGAATCATAAATTACCAATATTTACTGAACACCCACATTCTGCCAGGGATCATGGAATACACAAAAATTAAGAGAGCTATCTTATTTACATAGCGATGACTTTGGCTTATTGTTCATAGTACTGTTATCATTCGGTTAATTAAAAAGAGAAGAAGGAAAAGTCTTTGTACTCTATGTAATCTATAAGATGACTGCTTATATATAAACAATATTCTTCCAGGTTGCCAAATGAACTTAAAAATCACTTTAAAACTAAAACTGTTAAGAACATAACATTATATCTTTACTATTAATATTAAATGAAACTAATTCACTCAAAAATAAAACAGACTTAATGTTTTAAATTAAATCTATTCCACTGTGGGAACCTTGGTGGCTCAGTTGGTTAAGCCACTGCCTTCTGCTCAGGTCATGATCCTGAAGTCCCAGGATCTAGTCCCATATCAGGCTCCCAGCTCCGCAGGGAGTCTGCTTCTCCCTCTGACCTTCTCTCCTCTCAAGCTCTCGCTCTCTCTCTCTCTCTCTCTCTCAAATAAATAAATAAAATCTTTTAAAAAAATCTATTCCATTGTTTTGATCACTCTATCATACAAATAAGCTCAACAAATGTTACAACTCAGTTACAATTAAATCACAAGGAAGTCGCTGAGGAGCATAACAGGAAAAAATATCTGACTTAGGATCAAAAGACTTAGAGTTATATGACACGAAGTCTTCAATGGGACCACTTTTCACCAAAATCCACATTACTGGCATCCTGCTACAGGCCACAAGCATCTCTCTTACATTACTGCAACAGCCTCCTAACTAGTTCTCCTACTTCCACTTTTCCTCCCTTTCTGTTTATTCTGAAGAAAATAGCCAAAATAATTCTGTTAAAGTCTAAGTTTAAATCATATTCAATGCTTAGTAACTTCCAGTGACTTCCCATCTTACTCAAAGTAAAAGCCAAGGCCTTAAATAATCTGTAAGGCCCTATACAGTGGCTCTGAACCAAGGACAATTTTGCCCTCCAGGGGACATCTGACAATGCCTGAAAGCACTTTTGGTTGTCAAAACCGAAGGATGGGTGCTGCTCACATCTAGTGCAAAAGCTAAGGATACAGCTAAACAGTCTAAAATGCACAAGACATCCCCCATAAACAGAGAATTATCTAGTCCAAAATGTCAATACTGCGGAAGTTGAGAAACCTTGCCCTATATAATCCAGCCCATCACTTCTTAACTTCATCATCTACTATTCCAAACCCTTACCACTCCACTCCAGGTATACTAGGCCCCTTGCTGTCCCTAGAAATACAGTAAGTATACACCCATTTTGGCACCCCTGCCTGGAACATTCTTCCTCTATAACTGTACCTCTCAATCCCTCCATTCTTTCAAGTCTTTATTTCCTACTCTCTCTCTTAGATATAAACAAATTATCTTTGATTTTTCAATGCCTTTGGCTATAACTCTCACTACTCTAACCTTGTCTTAAGACTGTTCGGCAAGTATCATATGCTCTAGTCAAAACATTCTTAAGTCTAGGGTAGGAGAGGCTGGGTGGCTCAGTTAGTTAAGCATCCAGGTCTTGATCTCAGGATCATGAGTTTAAGCCCCATGCTGGACTCCACACTGGGCATGGAGCCTACTTGGAAAAAACAAAACAAAACAAAACAAAAAACAAACAAACAAAAAAAAAACTATTCTTAAGTCTCTCTGAACCACAATGCACTCAACTCTACCTTTATTCCCGCTTTCCCTCTATCTGGAATGCTCTCTCTTTTTTGTCAGCTATTTATATAAGAAGTTATAATGAAGCAGGAAGGAAACATGGAAACACTGGAAATAATACTTCCTTCTAAGAAATGATATGAAGGAAATTTGGAACTTGACATATTTTCCAGTACCTTTTACTTCATCTCAGTCACTGAAAAATACAATGCTAACAATTAATTGTATTGTTGCCTTCATTTGGTAACTATACATCTTTTATTTTTTAAAGTCTACCGCATTCTCCCTCTAGACAGCCCCATGGCTTGCATCCTCACCTCCTCAAATCTATGCTCAAATGTCACCTTCTTAATAAGTCCTTCCCCAACACACACACACACACACACAACCAAACCACCACCACTACCACCCCTCCCCTCTGTCATTTTTCTCCTAAACAATCATTATCATCTAACATACAACATATGTTACTTCTTTATCTTGTTTACTTTTCATTTCACCCAACTAGATTGCATGCTCCCTCCAAGGGCAAGAATATGGGCTCCTAAAATAGTATCTGATACACAGCATTCACTCAAGAAGTATTTGTTAAATGAAGTCAAATTATGTCTCTGGAAATAAGTTCCTCATTTGTAAAATGTAGATAACCTAGACCTCAAAATAATGTCAAATAATGATCTTTAACCAGCACTGCATTCCAAAATCATTCAGAGTACTTTTTTATAACATGCATAACCAGGGACCACTTGTCCAAAATTAAGATTCAAAAGGACTAGGGTATGACCTGAACAGATATACTTTGAAAAACCTCTCCACAATCACAATGTTGGAACTTATATTAAGAGAAAAAAATGAAAATCATAACATTAGTAAGACATGAATCCAAAAAGATATATGTACCCCCTGTTCACTACAGCTTTATTTACAATAGCTAAGATATGGAAACAACCTAAGGCCCCCCTGAAGAATGACTAGATAAAGAAGATGGGTACAGATATACAATGAATAGGACTCAAGCCATAAAAAGGAATGGAATCTTACTATCTGCAACAACATTAATGAACCTTGAGGGCATTATGCTAAGTGAAATAAGTTACAAAGAAAAACAAAGACTGTATGATTTCACATGTATGTGGAATCTAAACAAACAAAACAAACAAACAAAAACAAGCTTATTGATATAAAGAACAAACTGGTGGTTACTAAAGGGGAGGATGGATTGGGCAAAGGGAATCAGGAGGTACAAATATTCAGCTATAAAAAAGTAAGTCACGGGGATATTACATATAGCACGATGACTGTACATTAAGAGAACAGACTTCTGGCCTGGTATGATTCTGCATTTCAAAGTCCTACATTTAGACATTAAGTCCTACATTTAGACATTAAGTCCCAACTCTTTGGTAAACACTACCAGAAAATGAAGCCTTCTATCATTCTAAATATCTCTCTTTGGTAAAAGTATTAGTCCTACTCATTCCAGTTTAAAATCTTGGACCCATTTTATTCGTCCTTCCAATTTTCTACTCACTACTAGTCAGCTTGCAAGTTCTGCTAATTTTCTCTAGAAACATCTTAATATTTTAAAAAATTATTATTGTTGGGTGCCTTAACTGACTCTGTCAGTCAAGCATCTGCCTTTGGCTCAGGTCATTGTCCTGAGGTTCTGGGATCTAACCCCAACTCAGGCTCCCTGCTCAGCAGGGAGTCTGCTTCTCCCTCTCCTTCTGCCCCTCTCCCCCACTTGTGCTCTCTCCCTCAAGTAAATAAATAAAATCTTTAAATAAAAAATTAATTTTGTCATCTCCCAAGTTCAGGGTCTTTAAATCTTAACAACCAAATTTATGAAATGTTTTTTAGCTAATTTTCTGTTTTAGTTTTTTTTTAAGGTTTTATTTTTAAGTAATCTCTACACCAAATGTGGGGCTTGAACCTACAACCCCATGAGCAAGAGTCACATGCTCTACTGACTGACTGAACCAGCCAGGCACTCCTAACTTTCCAGTTTTCAATCTACCTAAGTATGGATACAAATCAAACTTCCTTTGTTAATTTTATTATGTCACTCTCCTGTTCAAAATGGTACTCTTGGCACCTGGGTGGTTTAGTCGGCTAAGCATCTGCTTTCAACTTGAGTCCTGACAGAGCCCTCCCCCGCCAATCCACTGGGTTCCCAACTCAGTGGGGAGTCTGCTTCTCCCTCTCCTTTTACCTCTCCCCCCACTTGTTCATTCTCTCTCTCTCTCTCTCTCTCTCTAATGAATAAATAATATCTTTTAAAAAACAAAAAACAAAGAAAGAAACTATATTCTTCAGGGGGGACTGACTGGTTCAGTTGGTAGAGGGTGTAACTCCTGATCTCGGGGCTGTAGGTTCCAGTCCCAGGCTGGATGTAGAGATTACTTAAAAAAAGAAGTTAAAAAAACAAAACAAAACAAAACTATATTCTCCAACATTCAATATATCCTGACCCCTTCCCATATCTTGAGCCTTTCTAGCTCACATCAAGTACAAAGTTTCTCTAAACTCTTAGAGATGATACAAAGAAATTAATTGGATAGTAATTATTTTCACAAAACGGCACAGCTTTATTTAGGAATACATTTGCTTCAGTTTTATTTTATGAATATATTATATTCTGTACAACAGTTGAATTTTCCATTTTCTGGCAATCAGGATATTTACTTCCACTCTCGGGTCCTTTTTTAACCTCACTGAATTGTTCCACATTCTTTTATGTTATCATCCTGCCTGGCAGAGTCTTAACTTTAATAACTATCAAAATAACATCCAATTGTATTCTGCATACCTCTTCTGATTTTATCTAGTTCTGTAGTCACAATTCTAACGTCACACTCAAGTCAATAAATAATCAGGCTTCTTTATGTGCTCCTCTAGACAGCTCTTTATATACTAACACATTTTGACACATTAAAGCAAATGACCTCAAAAACAAGGTCAAAATGCATTACATTAGAAGGAATGTAAAACCAAGCCAATAATCCACTTAATCTACATTATTCAATACCAAAGCCTCTCCTTCGGCAAAAATAACTCAGCTAGTTTCTTCCTTTTGGAATAAATTAAAGAAATCATAATTCAAATAAAACAAAGAGTCAAACTAATCTGAATAGTCCTAACTTTTTCTTTTTTTTTTTTTTTTTTAATATTTTATTTATTCATTTGAGAGAGACACAGTGAGAGAGAGCATGAGCGAGGAGAAGGTCAGAGAGAGAAGCAGACTCCCCGTGGAGCTGGGAGCCCGATGCGGGACTCGATCCCGGGACTCCGGGGTCATGACCTGAGCCGAAGGCAGTCGTCCAACCAACTGAGCCACCCAGGCGTCCCGTCCTAACTTTTTCTGATCCCAAATTCCCTAATTCAAATACTATACACAGTATGACAACATTAACACAGAGCAGTGATACATCAAGAGACAACACAATGACTGAAACAAGGTAGAACTGACTTATTACATTGTTACTTTATGTGTGTGTAGAGAAAAACTGAAATGCATTCCCTTAACCTATTTAAGAACAAACGAAAGAGGATACTCACCATTAAAGCCCTGATAAGTATTTCTGCAAGCAGAGTGTGTGTAATCTATGAAGACACATTTAACAGAAAGGAATTAGTACAATATTGGCAAAAATCTGAAATTACATACTCATCTATTCAAATCAAACACAATTTTTAAAAATCTCATTAACTCACTTATCTGTAAAAATGGGGTATAAATAATTACAAATATTTTATATGGGAAAACATAGATCTTTTCCTCTTCACTATCTCCCGAAGAGGCAGGTTTATCATCCAAATTGCAATAATGTAAAAATTAGCTTATAAAACCTAATATATAATAACTGCCAAAGAGGAATCCCGTACTGATATAAACAGGGTTACAAAGGGAAGCCAGATAGATTAAATTATGTATCAACCATTGCAAAAAGGGCCACCTGAGAATTGATTCTATGTAACATATAATTTTTTCAAAGTTAATATAGTTCTTTTACCTATTTGCTAAGGTTTTCAAGATCTTATTGCAGAATGCATATGCACATATGTACATCTGTGCCTATCTATCTGGGATGTGGCATCACCAAAAACCATATTGGCAACTTCCGTCAAAACCGACTTGATAATCGTTAAATTATTTAATTAATTTTACCAATAAATACTAAAAGAAAGGAAATTAATATAGTGATCACTCGGATACAACAGAATCCAGCTACACTACGTAGGATTAGATTCAGATATACTGTTAGTCAAATTCCACTCCCAAATATAGCAAGATAGGCAAAGAGGAAGCAAGAGAGAGGGGGAGTATTTTCTCACTGACACTGTTTATAATCTTATTACTGACGCTGTTTGGAATTGTAGGCACATGGTGACAATAAAAGCAAACATACTAAGTTTTATTGTTTTTCAATTCTCTACAGAAAATGGATTCTCCAGCGGGGGTGGGGGTGGGGTGGGGGTGGGGGCGGGGAGACACCACTCCCATTGTTCCCTCCCCCCAACTAGGGGCTGCTGCTGTACCTTGGGTGTCATTAAACCTTGGCATGAAAACACAATTATGTTTTGTTTTGTTTTGTTTTAAGTTTCATTCCTAGCTTTGACACTCAAATATTCATAGTTTAAAGGTATCTATTATCAAAATCACTCAGTCCAACCAAAACAAACAAAAACATCAGTGCGCTACTCTTAAGAGCTGAACTTCCTATTTGAAAGTAATTTAAAAAGATTCAGAAAAGGGTTATTTTAGTATCCTTTCACATACTTAGATTTGGCAGCTTTAATTCTTTGTGGCATGAAATCAAATCAAAGATCAAAAGATCATCTCGTCAGACTCACATGCTGAGATCACACTAACTACAATGTTAAAGAAGATTGGGTTTTGGCTGGGTATGTGACTTACAACTAGTTAGTCGATCTGTTTTATTAGAAACGTCTGGCTACTGAGGATTAAGTCCAGTTTAACCATTCAAACCCTTCTTCCCTCTCCCTAACGCGGACATTAGGGACGCATTCTGACACCGATTCCTATAAAAGTTAGGCAAGTTCCGAAGACAAGGTGAAGACCAAATTAATTTTACTTTGTGAGCCCGTGAAAATGGTTTACAGAACCAGCGTGAGAGACGACTGAAAGGCATTGCTGAAATACAGTTTATTTAAACGGTAAGTCTAACCCAGGCGGCTGGGCACAGTACTGAATTTGAAGGGCATGTGATGCTGTGCCAGAATTCTGACTAACTTAAGTCCCATCCATACACAATCCAGAAGAAAAATGCTTTGGTTCACAGAAGTATTTCAGATTAGGGATTAACGACCAGGTAATTCTGGTGGATAAACAACCTAGTATGCCAACGGGTAACAGCTTATTTCCATTCTGTACAGATATCTACCTGTACTTGTCACTTAGAGACGCCCTTAAACTCAGCTTAAACGAAGCCAAGAAACCTCACTGTGATCGGGCCTCTGAAAATTGCTAAGAAGCCACCGGGTAGAGGATTTACGAAACGGACGAGCTGGGTCGCCGCCCCGCGGGGCGGACGTGAGACGAGGCGGGGGAGGCCCCACTCTCCTCTCTGCCCGACACCGGGGAGTTGGAGGCGCCGGGGCAATTTCCACGCACCGCGGCCGGGGCCAGTCCGGGGCGCGAGTCCGGGCCCCATTCCCGAGGCCGTGGCGCTTTGGGCGCGCCCTTCCCCGCACCGAGGCCGGCACGAAACTCCCAGGTCTCCGGCGGCAGCGGGCGCCGGGCCGGCGCGACAGGGCGCGCGGGTCCCCACACAGGCCGATTCCGGGCACTGGGCCCGCGGCGGGCGGGCGGCCTCCGGGCCCGCAGAACAAAGCCCACACGGCCATCTTGAGACCGTAAACAGACCCCCAGGGCGGCCACCCCGCCTCCCGCCCGCCGCGGCGACCAGCAAGAAGCTCTGCTTACCGTCCTCGAAGTCCATGGCGGAGGCTCGGGGCTCACGGGCTCGGCGGCGCTGGGCAGAACTGTGGCAGGCGGCGAACACCCGGGACCCGCGGTTCCACACCACCAGTCCGCGCGACCGAAAGCGGCGCTACCGGCCCGGGAGCCGCAGGCCACAGTGAGGCGGAGGGGCGGGGCCGGCCGGCGCTGCCAGCCGCAGCAGCGCGGCCTACGATTGGTTGGCGCGGGTTGGTGGGCGGACTCTCGGGTGGGGGCGGGAAGCAGGTCGGCTGTCACGCTCCAGGGTGCTGACCCTCTCCGAGAGTCGGAGGAGGAAGGAAGGTGGAAAGAAAAGCGCTGAAGACTGACTAGGGTCACGGGAAAGCGAACTGGGTGTTCGGGAAATTCTGGCTGCGGCCCGCCATGTTTGATCCTGGCAAGAGCGAAAGGATTGGATCGGAATACCTTCCTCCTGCCCAAACTAATAAACCACGTGTCGACCTTTTGCTTTTTATTGGCTGGTGACGACTGTACAGAAAATGTTAAAGTACTTAACGGGTTTTTTGCCGTGGAGATGCATAAGTCCCGGACGATTTTTTAAAACTGTGTGAGCCGAGGAGAACAGATTGCTGAATAGGAAATAATTACGGGAATGATCCAAGACAAGTTATTACCAGTTTCTGAATTTTAAGGTGCAAAACAAAAAGGGGCTGTAAAATTTCAAAGACAGGGAAGATTTGTGACAGAAGTCGCCAAGAGCTTGAAGAATGACCATGCACAAACCCTCACACATATTGATATCGTGTTACTGCCACTTTGGAAGTAGCGTTGGGGAAGTAGGCAAAATTATTCACCCCGCAGGGCAATATGGAAAAAAAGCAATTGTTCGTTCTGATCCTGCAGCAGCTTAACTCCAGGTTAATTTTTTTTTTCTTTCTTTCCTTCTTTTTTTTTTCTTTTTCTTTCTTTTTTTTTAAGATTTCATTTATTTATTTGACAGAGAGGCAGCTGGAGGGGGAACACAAGCCGGCGAGTGAGAAAGGGAGAAGCAGATCTCCCATTGAAGATGGAGTCGGATGCGGGCTCTATCCCAGGCCGACGCCCAACGACCCAGCCACCCAGGCGCCCCTTTCTTTTCTTTTCTTTCTTTATTTCCTTTTTTTTTTTTTTCTTTTGTAGTAGAGCAAATAGTGTCAACAACGGGTTGATCACAAGATGGGAAACCATGAATCAAAACCATTTTCTCTTCTTTAGGGTCCAATCAGTTGCTGGAACCAGCCTGCGGAAATAGGACTGGAGAACAAAATTGCAGATACATTATGTGCATTACTATAGCCCCAAACCTTCACAGGGCATTGTTTCTTCCTCATCACTTCCCTTCTCCACCCCGATTGATCCACCCAGTTCTCCACCCTTATTCTCTTCATTTTTTTTTTCCTCCCTCCTATACATGTTTTCTATTCACCTGAGCTGAACATGTTGAAAACTGAACTCATAATTTTCCTTCTCAAACCTGTTCATCCTCCTCTGTTCTTTCATCTCTTTTAGTGGTGTCATGAGCAACCACCCACTAATCCTAGCCTGAAGCCTGCACGATTCATCTCAAGACACAGGCTTCTCCCATCCTCCCTCCCCCATCCACACTGAAGTCTTTTATCTGCTTATTACCTCTTAAAATTTCTTAAACTTGTTCCCTTCTCTCCATTCCCACAGCACTACCTACAGTACCTCCACAACTCTCATTCTCTCCCTCCCACACTATTGCTGTAGCTTCCTAAATCATTTTTCTGCCCATTGGCCTTGACCTTCTCAGGCTTCTCAGGGCTGCAGTGTTCTAAACACAAATCTGAACATGTCATCAAGGGTCTTATTATGGATTAGGCCAAGGCCAAGCTCCGAAACCTAGAGCATGTGCAGCAGGATGTGGCCACTGCCTAAGTTGCCATCTTCCTCCATTTCTCCCTCCTCCTCTCCCATACTGTCTCCTTTTTGGTGAGCAATTTTAAGTCCCCAAACATCCCTACACTTCTTCATGCCCCTAAACTTTTACTTACGCTTTTCTAGCTGCTTGTTATACCACCCAGTGAATCCTACTCGTTCTCAAAACATAGCTCAGGATTTACTTCCTCTAAGAAATGCTCCTACATCCCATCCCCACACACTAGGCCAGTACTTAAATGATTCACCTAGCAATCTCATTAAAACTCAGATTCACATTCAGTCAGTCTGGGTTGGAGCCAAAGAGCCTGCATTTCTCACAGGTTTCGCAGGAGATGCGGCTGCTGCTGCTGCTGGTCCAACCATACTGGCAGTAGCAAGGCCCTGAGCTAAGCACTGATAGAACACTATCTCCCTTGCATTAAATACTCTGTTTGGCTTTATGTCTATCCACATTAAAAGCCCTTTGAGCTTAGAACCAAGTCTTCTTTGTATCCTAAGTGCTGAGCACATATGTTTATCAAGTCTAAGTGATCACTCCTGACGTGTTTTACTTTTTTTTTTTTTTACATCATGGCAAAGGGATGGTTTCTAACCTGTGGTATTCGGGTCTTGTCATGAGGGTAAGGAATAAATAATTGGGTCACTATTTGTATTTGTGTATTATTTGCATGTGCGTGCATGCACACACACACACACACACACACACACGCAGGCACTTCTTTCTTTTCTGAAAGAGAAAACTACTGGTCAAGGAACTCCTCACTCCAGAAGAAATCTGGCCTCAGAACAAATGCTTGGAGAGCCAGAATACACGGATATCTTCTCCCCGTCCTTCCTCTTTCCCAAATAGGAAGTTTCTGACAGAGGTGGCAATACCTGAGTTACCCCGCAAGACCTGAGACACCTTGCAATACCTGACAGTCCATCAAGTCATCCCTTAATTTCTGCATTGAACAAATACTGATTGAGCACCATCCATGTGCCAAACATCATTTTCTTCCTTCGTTGTTATCTCTTTCTTATTCTCCAGAAACTATCCAGGCTCCTGGACCTGTTCCCACTTGCTTAGGCTTAGATTTTTATCCTGAGGGGCCAGTGTTTTGCACAAAGTCTTAGGCCCTTACATTTTCCATTCATTTCGCAATAGGCGGCAGGTTAGTCAACACCAGATCAGCAAAGCCTATTGAAAGAGAGAAGAGACTATGTTTTGTTTTGTTTTGTTTTGTTTAAGTGCAGAGGTTAAAAGGATACGTGGTGTGAGGTCAAGAGAAACCTGCAGGGAGAAGGAGGCAATGGTGGGCTACCCCTAAGACCTGATCCTGAGGGAGCTGTCAGAGAAGCCCCACCACCTCCTTCCCTAGAACCTGAGAAGAACTGGGTAAGTGGACCCCCTGAGGAACCAGGGCCTCTGTTCCTCATCTCCTAAGCCCCCACCCACACACCTTCTGCTCCAGCAACACAGAACCATCTGCTGCTCCCCAGACAAGCCATGCATTTTCACAAGACCCTGCTCACCTTGTTCTCTCCGCTTCTATTGCAGTCCCTCTCCTCCTCTGCCATTCTTCAAGGTTCAATAATCACGGGACCTCTTTTTAAACCCCTTCCTTCCATGTCACCTTAATAGCGATTAGCATAGTTGGATTCTTGTAGCGAGTTAGTTATAACTTTGTCTCTTTATTCAGATTCTTTGGAGACCCTCCTTTGTACCCTTTTTAGGCGGCCTATAGGTAGCACATTGGCACTGTGTGTTAAGGAGAGACAACAAAATCACCACTGAAGAAAAGACCTAATGAGACTGAAATTAAATGCCCAGAGCTTCATCTGCAAAAAAAAAAAAAAAAAAGCACAGCATCTTATGATTTTATGATTTTGGAGAGTAAGTGACTATAGGGTGACAAAGACACGATGCTTTCCTGATTTGCTCCAAATAACTCTTTCTTCCTCCCCATGTTCTTTAGGGAATTCATAAATACTCAGGGAGGCCAAGAACTGAAAATGACTATCTTAAAGTAAAGCAGCCAAACTTAACATAAACAAAGTAATTCCTACTGTGGGATTTATCAAAGGAGAGCTGGTTACAGAGCCCGTGGCAATAGAAAGCTGCTGAAAACAGCTGGTGTTGATAGCACTGAATGGTTGTGTTTTATACGTAGGACAAGATGATGTCTCTTGATTTTAATATGCAACTTCGCAAAGATGCAGGTGTCTCTCAAAGCGAAAAGGAATAGCAATTAAAATAATAATTAGCTTTTATTAAACCCTATATATTAATAAATGTTTCAAAGCACTTTACATGTGTTAACTCATTTTATCTACCCAAAATGTAGGTAGTACTGTCACCCACTTTACTGATAAGGAAACTGAGACGAGAAAGGTAAAGTTACTTGCCCAAGGTCACACCACTGAGACAGAGAGTAGAGCCAAGATTCAAATGCAAGCAGCCTGGCTCCAGAGCCCACACATGCATCTCGACCATGCTCTGCTGAGCAGCTATTATGTGCCAAATGTTTTGATGGAAGCTTTTACATGCCTTAGTTCTCCTCTTTAAAATAAGCTAGATTATAACCTTTCCAAATGAGGGAAGTTAAAGAGAAAAATTAAGTTACTTGTCCAAGACTGTACAATGAGCAATTGTTGGTTCTATATTCCTGACAAATATTATACAGTCATGCTTAGGTCTATTGTCATATGGAGCCCACCTTGTAGACCCAATGTCATCATCAAGCTGCTCAGGTAAAAAAGAAGAGAGATTTTGCCAATCTACAGATCATCTTGCGTAACAGTACCTAACGCAGTCAAAGAGAGTATGTAGCAAAGAAGGGATCATAACCGCTTTAGAGATTCCCCACTTTGTCCTGTGCTTTAGGCCTTCCCCAGATTAGAAGAACTCAATTAGTTTCATATGCATTTTCTTTCCCACAAAAGCAAAGTAAAATTCCAAAAGCAAAATTGCTTTCAAAATGTAGCAGTTTGGGGTGACTGTTAAGGTTAAGGGACCCACTCTTGATTTTGGCTGAGGTCATGATCTCAGGGTCATGAGATCAAGCCCCATGTTGGGCTCCACTCTGGGCATAGAGCCTGCTTAAGATTCTTTCCCTCTCCCTCTACTCCTTTCCCTACCTCTCTCTTTCCCTCCATTAAAAGTAAAATACAGGGGCACCTGGGTGGCTCAGTGGGTTAAAGCCTTTGCCTTCGGCTCAGGTTATGATCCTAGGGTCCTGGAATCGAGCCCCACATTGGGCTCT